CTTATAACGAAAACAATGCCCAAGCCTATGACAAATAGAAGCGTCAAAGGCGCCGCCTGTCTGTGTAGTATGGTAATTATTATTATTTTTTAAGTGTGAGTAGTATTTTATAATGTTTTCTCAATAAAATAATGCATTGCCTGCCGATATGGCTGGAAACACCTGGCGGAGAATTTCGAGTGGTTTTTACGGCACCTGCGTCAGCTCGTGTAGAGTTAGCGCAAAAGGCTTTACGTAAATTTTAGCCTGTATGAATCCACCTAAAAACGGGCCTCGCTTTGCGCTACGCGAAATCGTACGCGAAATATTACTTAAATCAGCTGTGTGATGAATCGCAACTAAGCAACCGTCGATTGCGTGACGAGCAAGATTTACGCAAAATATTTTGGCGTATCGCAGTCCTTGAAAATGAATCTTACCCCCAGGCGCCCTACATTTATCTGTAATACAGTGGTACACGTAACGCCAACGTGACTGTAGCATTAAAATCGACACAGATTTAGGCTTAGATCACAAATATCTAGATTTTTTTTTAGATATTTAGAAGTTTTCGGGATATTTAGAAAATTCCTAGAATTTTCAGAATGAAAACACAATTTTCTCAGATTTAGATTTTTAAGGATGCAGTTTGTCCTTTTCTAGAAAAACCATCCAGCCGGTGGCAAACTGTTTTAAAATCTTGCAAATTTTTTTTTCGCACAAAATCATAAATATGTTGTAAAAGACTTTACGTTTGAAATGAACTGAGATTATTTAGAAAAATTTTGTTGGATATTTAGAAAAAAATTGAGATATTTAAGATTTTTTGGAGAATTTCCGGAAAGATACTTTAGAGGCCATTGTCGAGATATTGTATCTAAGCCTAACACCAGATGCATGCGTATTGTACTGCTGTGGTTCGGAAATACGAAATGTTTTTTCACGAAATGACCGAACCGCGAAAAGTTCGTCGCAAAGTTCGCGCATTGGCGACAGACTAATTATGAATGCGCGGAAAATGACGTCAGCGGAAGCCATCCAACAGGACCGGAAGCGGAACCTCAATAGCTAAAAGCCAAACAGAGCACGAAAGCCAAGTACGTTACTCCGCCATATTCTTTTAAATTTCTTGAGTCTATTCATTGTAAAACTGCCGGTATAGGGAGATGGGTGAATATCTTTACAGGGTAGGCCTAATTTTAAAACTTTTCAGCAGAGTATTACTTCTTGTTCAAGTGCTCGGCTGCTGCGGCTGTTTTTCAGGCACAAATGGACACAATTATGATGCGTGTGCCCGATTATTTGCTGACAAAAACACCACTGACACTCGCAAGCTAGGGCCTGCATACCTCCAACTCTCATTCGTTGATAGCAAATCACGTGCCTAAACTCCTCTTTTAATAATTCCTTTTATGCGTGGCATTGTGACCCTACGCCTGAACCCTAACCCTAACCTAACCTATCCTAAACCTAACGCTAACCCTAACCCTAACTATCCTAATCCTAACCTCCGTAACCCTAACCTAACCTACAAAAAAAAAAAAAAATTTAAAAAAAAAAAAAATAAAACAAATCACGCTTAGATTTAATTTTAAAATTAACTATATTTGTATCACAATGAGAGTTGGAGGTAATGCAGGCCCTAGCTGCGAGTCTCACTGACTCAGTGACTCAGTAGGCCCTACAATGGGCATGGTCCTAGGCTAGCTCGCAAGAAACGGTTGTTTTGCTAGGGTTAGAAGTTGTATAGACAATCAGTCGCACAGCCTCGTCGGGCTGGTGCATGAGGCTTATGGATATTGGAGTGATCACTGACACTGACACTGTCACAGGCACTTGCAATGTTTCAATGTTATAAAAATTACGCGTGGCTACGCGACCGGTTTCCGGACGGGGAGCCACTAGGCTACGCCGTCCGGACATCCATCTCACACCACAGGCACTTGAAGCGTTTCATCTGTAAACACACGCCGGCCGCCATTGCTGCTGCGCTGCACACTGACACATAAATATATATTTATGTTTATATACTAATATATATAAATATACTAATAAATATAATACTATAGTGTATATATTTATGTGTCAGTGTGCAGCGCAGCAGCAATGGCGGCGGCGTGTGTTTACAGATGAAACGCTTTAAGTGCCTGTGTCTCACTGTGTGTGTGTGTGTGTGTGTGTGTGTGTGTGTGAGAGAGAGAGGGAATGTGTATGTGTGTGTATGCGTGAGACAGAGAGAGAGAGAGAGAATGTGTATGTGTGTGTGTATGCGTGAGAGAGAGAGAGAGCTAGAGCTAGAGTAGGTGTGTATGTGTCTGTGTATGTGCGTGTGTGTGAGAGAAATAGAGAGAGCTGTGCATGTGTGTGAGAGAGAGAGAGCTGTGCGTGTGTGTTGATGAGAGCGAGAGAGGTAGCGGATGAAAGGATGAGACGCAGCAGTGGCATATATTGTATATTTCGGCAATCAGCAGCAGCGCTGGCGTTGGGCACAATGCCATGCGTGTAACCGCAAGTCACGCGATCACTGTTTGATGTGGATGTCGCAGATGGCATACCTGGAGGCTAGGCGACCGGTTCCGGACGCGTAGCCACTGCGTATAAAATAATTATGGTAAATAAACACAAAATGTATTTTACTACAAAGTCTTAGTGTTTCTCGACTTTACTCTCTTTCGCCTATTATTTGCGATTTTTTCAGTCGTTCCTCCGTTTTACTACATCTTTATTCGTCATAACTTTTGTATCCAGAGTGAGCATATAGAACTATAGCCATTCACTCTGCCACCTGTGGCAGAGCGAAGGGCTATAGTTCTAGAGCTAGAGTCGTCAGGTCTCCCAGGGGCGGATCCAGGGGGGGGGTGCAGAGGGTGCGCACCCCCCCTAAAAATTTAAAAAAAAAATTATATAGATTTTTAAGCAGAAAAAATACTGAAAAATAAGTTGATGTTTCGAGGAGTTTTTAGGGGGACGAGGGCCGACCCGACTTGTTTTCTGGGCTGCGACAGATTGCCGCCAGGCTGCGCCACCTTGATTGCTTTGTTATAGACTGGTACCCTCCTGGGGTAATAACCCCCTCTAATTTTGCTTCAATAATTTCATTCTGAATAGTTTTCGATGTTATCTTTTGCATTTTTTTACTTAAAACGTACTTAGTAGTACTATTACTATATTCTCTCTGGCAAGAGCCCACTCATTTGTGTCTAAATTTGGTAAAAGTAAGTACTACTGGCACAGGGGCGTGTACGGGTGGGGGGGTCCAGGGGGTCCGGACCCCCCACCTGCTCGCGCAGCAAAACGCATCTGAGGGGGTCTAATTCAAAAACCCCCCTTCGCGTTCTCCCAAGTTTGGGTTACGGTGGACCCCTCCTGGTACAAATCCTGTACACGCCCCTGTGGCAAGAGTAATACTGAGTATGTTTTAAGTAAATAAATATCAGTCATTGAAATTCAAGTGAAGTTCAAGTTTTATAGTAAATGTATGAAACGGAAAGCATATAAATTAATACATGTAATGATTTTAATTTTCTTTTGTAATAAAAGTGTGTTCAATCCATATCGCGAGTTTGATTTCACTGGGTACTAGTATTTTGTCGCTCTGATGGCAGTTAATTTCAAGCAAGTTGAATGGTTTTTGTGGCTTTGTGGATTTTGCCTTGTACTGGAATTGTCTGTTTCATTGCTATGACAAGACTTGAAGCTACAAAAATTTCGCCTCATATGCCTCTGAAAATGCATAAAAAGGAGTCTGATTTTTAACAATTTTCTGGGGGAGGCCCCCCCGACCCCCACCGCGTTTCCTTCGCACCTGCGTCCTCGCCACGGAAGCGGCGGCCCAGCCGCCGCTTCAGTTGCCCCTAACAAAATCTCAAAGTGCCCTTTCCCACCTGCACCCCCCCCCTAGACAAAATCCTGCATCCGCCCCTGTCTCCACTATCCTGAGGAGGACATACAACTTGTTGCTCATGGTCTCGCGTCACAAACAATATTAGATCTAAATCAGTGGAGATGCTGATTAACCTGTCGTGTGTCCATGCCAAATGTGGAATATATATGTGAACCACATAGAGTACCGAAGTGATGACGTCACGGTGGCATGACAACGAGCCTGCTGGTTCTACACAATCATTATGCTCTGGTAACATTAACTGCGTGTCGTGTTTTGTACCCGATTGTAACCATCATTCTGAGAGTCATTATTGCAGTTTTTATAGATTTCCAAAGGATGGAAGTGAAAAGCAACAGGGAAAAAAAAAATTTTTTTTACCAAATTTTTTTTTCTTAATATTTTTTTAAAATTCATTCAATATTGTAAGATCGACTTGCTACCGATGCTTTACCGCTGTCTGCAGCGCACACATTCGGGTTTTACGTACGCACGCTATGGCTACACTATGGAGCCAGTGGCTGTGGTAGAACCAGCCCGTACGTTGTCTTGCCAACGTGACGTCACACTTCGGTACTCTATATAGACAATTAACTTAAAGGGACAGTAGCCTCTAGGATTTTACTGCATACAACTGTACTTACTGTATAACAAATCGTCTATACCCACATGTATTTGTCACCAGATACTTAATTAATTATTTACACATCAACGCTACGAAATTTGAACGCGCCATGACACCCGCGACCGTGCTGCCACCCTGAAAAATTGCGTATTTGCATTTTTATTTTGCAGTAAATGACTGAGGGCTAATCACAAAAGTGCAATTATATTTATACCTAAATGCTATTTAACCGAACGATATTCATTTTAGGGCAAATTTATCCATATTATAACTGAAACTATATGTCGTTTATAAGATATTACAATCCTTTTGCTTTTAAATAAATAAATAAGAAATACCCTCGGTCTGTAGCCCTTGGCTGGAAAGTGGTTTTGCGCAACTTCTCAGATCGTGCGCTTTGAGTGGCGCCACCGTTGTTGTAATCAAACTGTAGTCGTTAGTTTTAAAACATTTTTAAAATATTTTAATGGTGATTGAACCATGAAACTTTTTATGTAGCGCAATTATAACCTAAATTAGCTGAAAATAACCCTAGAACCTAGAGGCTACTGTTCCTTTAAGCCTATTTTAATTTTAGCACAGGTTTTTGTGTTTTTCATTATGCACGTTCATTATAGGAAAATGTACTGGAGATCCTGGTAGAAAAAGTGCATTACTTTGTAGCTCATCAACTTACATCCTAAATCTAGGTGGTAACCTAAGTATAGGATTAGGCATTGTGGGGGTGAGTGATATGTATACTTATTTCTTTCATTTTTAGTGCAGTGACATCAAATTTGAACGGGAGTTAATTTGGTGTATAGAGCAGTTGGAACTTGGATTGAGCCGACAAAAACCAGACAGTAAACAAGGTTGGTTTTTTATTTGTCTGTCATGTAAACCATAATTTTCTAGTAGGTCTCAGGGGAGAGATAGTGAATATAGAAATAAGTTGTGGATATAGAAATCAGTTAACCCTAACCCTAACCCTATCCCTAATTCTAAAATAAAACAAAATTAGCCAAAAATAAAAAATAAAATAAATAAGAGACAAAATTAGCCAATCAGAGCCGTCCCCTAGCGGATCACTATCTCTCCTCTGTGCAAAATTCTTAATTTTCTTATTGTTTTTAAAAATTGAATTATTATATTACATACTAGCTCTAGTACTATAGCCCGCGTAGAGTTGCTGCAGGCCTGCGGCAACTGTACGCGGGCTATAGTACTAGAGCTAATTACATACCAGCTAAACTTTAAAGTCACACTTAACAAACTGTTAAAATAACATATACAAGTCCACAGAATATCTTGTAAAAGGCTTTTATCAAACATCTGTATTCGTAGCCAGAGAGGGTAAGCGGATATTGAAGATGCTTAGTGATCCAAAAGCCCCATTGGTAAAGAAGAGACAAGCTATGCGATCCACTTTCTGCGATTACAGAAAAAAGATGGCTGACGAGGAGAAAAAACTTGTTGCTAGCAGTAAGTTGCATGCACCCAAGGTTTAACACCATAAATATGTAGGACTCCAGGGCACTACATAGTATATAATCTGTATTTTGTGGTTTGTAAGATGCTCAGATGCATTATATGCCTACCCCAAATAATTTATAAGACAATAGTCTGAAACAAGTTCTAAAATGTTCTGAAAAAGTTCATTGTAAGCCACAAAATATGGTGCTTAAAGGAAATCTTACACTTGATGCTGGTAAGGTCTATGCTAACAATATTGGGTTTTTTGATGAATACTAAGTACATTTATAATGGCTAGTGTCTGATTTAAGATTTGCTTCAGTGTCAGCTGAGGCTAGACTGTGTAATGGTAAGATGGAACCCTGAAAGTATAATTGCATTCATCGTATATTTTACATTTATACACGACAGTATGTCCTAAGCAATAGCATCGTTCTTCATGTTGCTAAATAATGAAGTAACACAATCATAATGTTAAGTTTAATATTCAACAGGTGCAAAAAATGTCTCTGTGCGTGTAGCAGCCGATACGAAACAACAGAGATTCACATTCTACAAAAAAGCGAGGTCAACGGGCGATGCAGATTTATGTGATCCGAATGCAAGTGAGGCTCCCCTTTTTGAGACAACTCGGGATACCATGTTCAAGTTTCACTTCAACACTGAAACAGTTCCTAATACAGTAGATTTGCCAAATGAATCTGAAGACACTAGAAAGGATGGAGAGCAAAAACAATTGAATGGCAATAAGCCAATGTTTGAGAGTTCAGATAATAGTTTTAGATTCAATTTCCAAATTGAGCAACCTATGTAAGTTCTGTAAAATGTGAAATTATGTAACACACATATATGTATATATAATTATGTCATGTATTAGCATCCCTTTCAAGTACATTAGCATTGAAGCTTTGGGCTTTTCAATTATGTAAGTGAAAGTACATCTAATTGACAAACACTGCTTTCATAATAAAAATAACAAAAACAATGTCATCCAGTGAATTATACTCGTGAATTATTTTGTGGAAGTCAACATTAACATAACTTGTGTGTTAAAGAAAATGGACGTAAATATTATTTTGGCACTGTTGCCACATTAGAATTTTTCCAGACACTGCATTTTAGGCATTAGAAAAGTCAAGAGTATTCAAATAGCTTGTACATTTAGATCATAAAAGTACAAACCCAAGTTTATGTTAGCAGATTACTAAGTCATTTGGTTAACAAAATGAGTCAAGCTAAATATTAATAAATAACCACATCAAAAGATTCAAAGCCAACTCCTAAAGAAGGAAATAATTAAAATGGATAAACCTCGCAACAAAAGCCTACATACACCTACTGTGAGCATACTGAGCCATACTATTGAGCCAGAAATGTGCTCCGAATTTGACTATTTTGAAAACTGTCGGAAAGAGTTACAGCGTACAGATACACATAGAGCGATGTGACTGTGAATGCTAACAATAGGCCTATGCTAGCGCAAATAGTTCCTGGAAAGAAAACGTTATATTTGACATAATTTGTTTGCTGATTACATGCGTTACATTACGCTAACATACGATTTAAACAAATTTCACAATTTTGTACTGAACAAACAATGAATAATGAATTATAACTTGTTCTATCATAGAGAAGAACTGTTAATGAAAACTGCGATCACTCGGCTATATCCCGGATGTGTAAACACTGTGTAAACATTCGAAAGTATTAGTTTCGTAAGACTGTTTAGGTTTGCAGAAGAAATGTTATAAAAGTGGCAATACAAATGAGTTGTAGAAATTTCTGCAACATAGACAAGCTCACAGTAGGTATATCTATCTATACATTTTTCTGCGAGAACATGCCGTTTTAAAACGTGCATTACTCGCTGTAATCGACTGCAAGGGTGAATGAACTAATAGCAGCCAGACTCTGTATCTGATAGATAGCCGACTGAACAAAACACAACCTAAATCGCAAAATAAAAGACAGCAATAGCTGGCACTCTGCAGCCAGAAGGTTTCCCTTTGGCCCACCGGCTGCTGCACACTGTTGAAAACACTTGCAGGAGAGCCGTCTATACCAAGTTATAATGTCTTCGATAGTGGGCATTTTGCCCTGCAGGGGGAGCCACCAGTTCATTGGTCCCCAGAGCAGAATCGCAAGTATTGTGGATGCCTCATCAGGAGTTGGACGCTAAAAAACAAGATGAACAAATAATTCAACAAACGCTCAGTCTCACGCGCCAGTCCAAATTTTGAGTAGAAATATCACAAGTAGGTGTAAAAGTGTCAGATCGGAACCTATTGACAAAAGTTCCATGACGAACAATGAGGAGCGAGTGTGAGTGCAGAAAATAGACATGAGCAAATGCCCATCTTTGCTGTCACCGGATTTCTGTCAGTACCTCTGCTGGGTCCACTCGGAGCATTAACTGCACCAGATTCTCCACAACTTTTCCACGTGCCCCCGGCAACCTCGTCCTGACAGGGGGCAGGTCGGACTCTTTGTAAGTCATGCTGTCCAGCCGACAATGGAAAGGATTTGAGGCAGGTGCACCGAATATCTCGTAAGCTAGGGCTCCGGCAGCCCACAGGTCAGCTTTGGAAAGGTCGCTATCAGACTCTGTGCCCAATATGGATCTAGTGACCTAATAAACAAACTCTGTATAAACTAGCAATCCAAGCCAGTTAATTGACAGAAATGTAATATTGTACGCTACTGCCACATTGCAAAATTTGCTCACAGGCACTTGTATGTGTGTTGTAAAACGTTTATCGTAAAAAAAATACTAGTCTTCCGTTTGTTGAGAATTGGTAAAAAAAACAGCACATATCTTCACGCAGGGAAAAAAATACACGGGGGCGGCGAGCGATTTCGCCCCCGAAATGCCAAAAAGAGCCCCCGAAAACATGATATCGGGGGCGACCCCAAAAGCAAAATCTGCCCTGGAAATCGATTGTCCAGATCGGTCCCGCGCCTTGCCGCTCTCGCTCGGCCTCTGCCGCTAGCGGCAGCCGGTTCCACGGCGCGGTAGAATTCATGGTACGGTGTGACTGTCAAGTGTTTACCATTTAACTTTTAAGCATGCATGTGTGTACTGTACTGTATTGCATTCAATCAAGCGCGCGCCGCCGCCCGCGTGCTTGCGTGTGTGCCTGCACGCGCGCGTGCGTGCGTGCCTGTGTGTGCCGGTGTGCCTGCGGGCGTGCTTGTGTGTGTGCCTGCGCGCGTGCTTGCGCGTGCTTGCGCGTGCCTGCGCGCGTGCGTGCCTGCATGCGTGCGTGCCTGCATGCGTGCCTGCGGGCGTGCCTACGTAGACCCGTAGGACCTACGACCTGTAGGATTATAGAACGGTAATCCATGGAAAATCCTAATGAAATTCACACGTATATTTTTCCCTGCCGGCACACTCGTGTGTCATTCCCAATTGTAGCTTTTTCGTCAATTCCCCGAAAGAGTTTTGCTGTCGCTCTCTCATAGTCCAGCAATGCCTCATTAGTACCACGCTGAAACATAAAACGGCCTCGCTTGCGTACGCGAAATCGTACGCAAATTTACTAAATAGCTGTGTTGATGAATCGCAACTAAGCAACGTCGATTGCGTACACAAGATTTACGCAAAATATTTTGCGTACGCAGCTTGATGAATCTACCCCCAGGCCCCTACATTTATTCTGTATACGTGTACACGTACGCACGTGACTGTAGCATTACAACGACACAGATTAGGCTTAGATACAAATATCTAGATTTTTTTTTAGATATTTAGAAGTTTTCGGGATATTTAGAAAATTCCTAGAATTTTCAGAAGATAAAACACAATTTTCTCAGATATTAAGGATTTTTAAGGATGAGTTTGTCCTTTTCTAGAAAAACCATCCAGCGGTGCAAACTGTTTTAAAAATCTTTGCAAAATTTTTTTTCGCACAAAATAAATATGTTTAAAAGACATTACGTTGAAATAACTGAGATATTTAGAAAAATTTGTGGGATATTTAGAAAAAAAATTGAGATATTTAGAGATTTTTTGGAGAATTTCCGGAAAGATATTTAGACCATTTTTCGAGATATTTGTATCTAAGCCTAACACAGATCTATGCACAGATGCACGTGTGCATACTGTGTGGTCGAAATACGAAATGTTTTTCACAAATGACCTAAACCGGAAAAGTTCGTGGCAAAGTTCGCGCATGCGCAGACTAATTATGAATGCGCGGAAAATGACGTCAGCGGAACCACAACAGGAACCGGAAGCGGAACCTCAATAGGTAAAACCAAAACAGAGCACGAACCAAGTACTGTTCTCCGCATATTCTTTAAATTTCTTAGTCTATTCATTGTAAAACTGCCGGTATACGGGAGATGGGTGAATTCTTACAGGTAGGCCTAATTTAAAACTTTTCAGGCAGAGTATTACTTCTGTTCAGTGCTCGGCTGTGCGGCTGTTTTTCAGGCACAAATGACAAATTATATGCGGTGCCCGATTATTTGTGACAAAAACACTCACTGACTCAGTGACTCAGTAGGCCCTACAATGGGCATGGTCCTAGGCTAGCTCCAAGAAACGGTTTTGCTAGGGTTAGAAGTTGTATAGACAATCAGTCGCACAGCCTCGTCGGGCTAGGTCATAGGCTATGGATATTGGAGTGATCACTGACACTGACACTGTCACAGGCACTTGCAATGTTTCAATGTTATAAAATAGGCCGTGGCTACGCGACCGGTTCCGGACGGGGAGCCACTAGGCTACGCGTCCGGACATCCATCTCACACCACAGGCACTTGAAGCGTTTCATCTGTAAACACACGCCGCCGCCATTGCTGCTGCGCTGCACACTGACACATAAATATATATTTATGTTTACAGCCTACTGATCATATAGTTAGC